TTTTTTTTTTTTTTTTTTTTTTTTTTTTTTTTTTCTAGACTTTACTGGTTCAGTATGTGATAGCGTTTAAGGAAACAGCTGAAAAAATTATAAATCTTAGAACCTTAAATGTTCTTTCGTTATTTGTACCTGGCGAATTACGGTTTAACAAAAATTTTATTTTCCCAAACACCTTCACAGTTTCTTCTATACGCAGTGTTCAAATTAACCATCAGATCTAGGAACAAGTTTTAGTTGAGCCCTAATAGCTAACAATATTTAATGTTTCTTTGTTTTACAAGTAACTCAAGAGGAATGACCAAAATAGACGAATACAAGAGAAATAATTAAGCTTTAGAAAGAACACTCATAAATACGTTAGAAGAATTGTGAAGTAAGATTAGCGGTAACAAATTCCGCATTTAACAACCTCAATTTTTTCACTCTTCTCAACTGATGCCTTCTTTTAAAACTGATAATTTTTTAAAACAACAAATTTTTAAAAATAATAAATTTTCAAACTTTTAATAGATGATAGTGTTACGCTTCTTTACACCACAGACTTTTTTTTGAAAAATTACGGGGACATTGTTCCATTGACTTAAAAAAAAAATTTAGCGTTGTCTCACGTTACCACTCCTACTTCAAAGCGCTTTTTTCAGCAGCAAAATCTTTGTTTTTTGTACTTCTAACTCTTAAGCTTGAAATCGCCTGATAAAATTTAATACAGTTCTTTGCAAAGGTGTACGATTTTTCTCTGTCACTAGATCAATTTTTTGCTTACTGCGGAGAAACAGGATCACATCAGGATGGCAGTAGGTGCAGAATTTTTTCTCTCAGCCACCTCACCACATTTCGCTGTTATTCCTGTCTTGCTTTATGTGTAGAAACAAAAAAATAAATCTGAACCGTATGCATAGAACAGATGATAATTCGTATTTAAATAATTTGCAAATAATTAAGGTTTGAAGATTCTCTACCTTAAGATGAGTTATTACAAATGCACTCGTGATGACTAATTCTGCCAGAAATGTAAACGTGCGAGGAAAAAAAAGCGACGAGAAAAATATGGAATAAAATAATGAGACGATAAGTTTCTCAAAAATAAAGAAATGTTGTTAAGAAATGCTTCAGAACGTAAAAAAAAAGTGAAGCTATTTTGTCAATTTTGAAATTCAATTTATGAGATAAGCATACAGAACTGAAACAGCACTAAAACACTGTATTTTATAACTGTACTATGACACAGTAATAAAAAAGTATAATCTGAAGAAGTGGAAGTAGCGAATCTGTAAAAGCTTAGTTATTGGAAACACTAAATGTGGAAAGTTTATTATTTCTTTCTTAGGTGAACAATAAGACATTTGTAAATTTGTAAGGCTATTGTGTACGTCATACTGAGAAAGCGAAATTTACTAAAAGGCAGAAAAAGGTTGAGTGCGCTCGTAGTGTTATCTCCGCTTTTATAAGAGTTTCGTATTTCTATTATGGAAAAGAGGTGAAGCAGTGATGGAGTAAATTGACGTAACTGATCATTAAAATTAATGACTAATTCTTATTTTTTAATCTTATTGCATAAATTTTTTGCTTTTTTTGTAAGTTATTTCTTGCATTACCTGAATAAATTTAGATTTTTTCTTTTATTTCGGTGATTGTTTGTAAACGACTTGGGGGTTACTCCTGTCTATTATCTGTACGTAAATGATTAACAGTGAGGATTTCTAAAAACGTTCTCGAGAATTTCCAATCTGTATAAAGTCCTAATTATCATGCCGGACAAATAAGCTAACAGTCTTCGCACAAAAAGCGATCGTTAAAAGTTTTTTTACATTTTGACTTTTTCCTTCTATAAGACTTTAAACTTAACTTTATTTCGAACATTTAAACTTTGTGATTTGTCAATGATTGCTATGACTCTGGTATCAAACTATTTTCTGAAGATACATTTCATACTCGTTGACTCCTCTGACAGTAAGCGTCGTAAGATCAGATTTCATTTGCCTCCCTGTATCAAAAGAAAATAAACTACACCTTTTTGGACTGCAGAACAATTGGTGCTATTGGAGTTAAGTGTGCTCACTTCAGGCATGCTCTTCGTATCGTAACTCTCAACTTGCTTTCATTTTTCTCCATCAATACGGCTTGATTTGCTTTCAATGATTTCAGCCTTGACGGTCCACTTCCTCACGTTATGCTTTTGTTTTATTATCGCGTTTCACGACACGGCTTCTCTCATGCGTGAGAAGTAACTGCATTCTCCAACTATATGAAGTCACTTCCGTCCTTCTAAAAACTGCTCCTTGCAGCCTCAACTGTTGTAACACTATATGTGGTTGAAATGCTTTTATAATCTTTTCGTTAGAAGAAACAGACCCAAATCTTATTTAGGATAAAGTTTACAAGTATTGATTGGTTCTGTCCAGTGGAATCAAATGGAGAGCAGTAAAAAATTATAAATAGAATACAAAATCGTTTTGGCAAATAGTTATCACTACGCCTTCGAGAAAAACTGTTTTTAGCACCTTATTTAACCACTTAACACAGTAGATCCTTTGTGAAATGCGAGAATGCTGCACTTACATAAGTATTTTTGGGCAA